TCTTCTCAAAAGCAAATGAAAAAGAAAAAATTCTCAGATGCAGAAATCAAAGTTTTATTATCAGAAGTTCATTCAAAACACCACATTTTATTTTCAAGCGTACATAGTGGCGTATCAGGTCCTAAAAAAAAGCAAGCTTGGCAGCATATTACAGATGCAGTTAATGGAGTTTCATCTATTAATCAAACAGTCCCAGAAGTGAAAAGAAAAACCGTATGTAATTACTATATATAATATTTTTTCAAAATGCTGTGTAAATAAATATGTACCCGATTAAGGTGAATTAAAATGCAGCCTTAGTTATTAGTGAGAAAAACGTTCGGATGTTAAACTCACTATTTACGCGTGGCTTGGAGCAGGTGTAGATTTCTTTCGTACCAACTAACATTTGGAAAATACGAACATTTTCATGAATCCGAAAATTTACGCCAGAACCACTTTACACACGATTTACACAAAAATTAGTTCTGCTTGTGTTTCATGAATGAGACCCAGTGTTTTTTTTTAAACACTCCCAGCTACTCCAGCAACAACAAAACTGGAGAATGTCACGCAGCCAAAATGTCAGAAAGTGTCAGTAGCGATGTTCAGCTTTACATGTTCGAACCGGAGAGATGGAGAGACTCGCGAAGAAGTTGCAACTTTTAAAAATTCACCTGGACTATTCTAAACGGTTAGTGGATAAATGTATGAAGTTGTTGTGTAGCATGTACCATCATGTTAATCTAAAAATCTTTATGAAACAACTTTTGTGCAAATCCAGCGTTGAACTGACCCTCGACTTTATTCGTCACTTTTCCTTTCCATAAATGAAGTTCAACAACGCTGTCCTCAGTCTATGGAGACTCTTATGTGCATTGGTACATCCAATAACAGAACATTTGTAATTTGGCACAGACATTGTATAACTCGACAGTGAGGAAACAGAAATGGCAGACTCACTCAGGGCGGGGTCTATGCTAATCAGCATGGGCGGGGCTTCCCCCTACTTTTACGCAAAATTAGGGGGAGATCTGGAACCGGTCGTTTGGAGAGGCTGTTTATGATTTATGGGGATTATATAAAAAAGGAGTGGGTGGATTTTTACCATTATAGGCTGGCTGTTTACACACAGTGTGGACAAACATCTGTGTTCACTTCAAACCCCTTATAAAATTGAATTTTGCATAATAGGTCCCCTTTAAAGCTGAAGTGTCTGCTAAAAATAACTGTTTTCAAACAGGTTTCCCCAAACAAACCTTAGACCTTTCATATGTATTCATTCATTTCTTTCTGTATGTATCATAACATGTTGTTGTCTTTTGTTATTGTTTTCTTAGCGAGTTCTGTAAAAGTCTCCAGTTGACATGTAAAGATATTTATATGGAATATGGATGGATGTACATAGGTAGCCACTAATGCCCTCCAACAAGCAATTAGACTTGTGAAGGAAACTTTGGAAATCATCGCTGAAGTTCCCCAGAGACTCTGGCGTTTTGAACTGCTGTGTAGGTAGACTCGTGTTTATCCTGGATAGGATTCTTGATTAAAATGGCAGAGAGTAAGAAATTGGCTGAGTTTGCAGTGGTTAGGCCACCAGACTAAAATATCTTCTTTAGCAAAATAATGTTGTTTCGATGTTTCTTGACCCTTTTTTTCGTCTTTCGTTCAAAATTTTTGATTTAATTTCAGTTCTAGGAGTTATTTTTAATGCATGTTGTACTTGTAAGAAAGCCATTCGATATTAAACATCCCCCCCCCCCCCCCCCCCCCACCCCCATCCTACGCTGAGGGCGATTTTTATTTTCCTTCCAAGCTGCAACTCCAAAAACAGTCGAGCAGACACCACAAGAAAGGCCCTCTAGGTCACTGGAAGATGTAGACTCACCATTGGACGGCAAAAGAAAAATATCTACTTTCATTCAAATTATACCTTACAGACCATACCGAACAATTCACATCAAATATAAACATCCTTTTGGAAATATAACTTCACGTATTGAGTTGCTCTGGACTTTCTAGAGGGTGAACAGTATTTTACGGGTCTCTCTCCTGTAATACGGTGGATCTCCTTAATATAGTAGATCGCCACCTTCAACGATGCCCAATATTTGTATTTGTAGCTCCTGCCAACAGGAACTGCTTGCAAGTGGTGTTTGTTTCCTATAAAAGCATGTTAATTCAGAGGCGGCCACAGTGTAAACTAGCCTGGCGTTTTACAGATGTAGCCTGTTAAACTAAATCACTGTACCTGCCTGTTCGTTTCATATGGCTAAGGCAGGACATCGAGCCAAGTCTTAACGTGTGTATATATATATGATCTCTGTTATTGCAAATGTATTTTTAACATTTTGAAAACATTCTGCCTGCCAAATTGGTCCTTCATTATGTGGTGTTCATTTGGAGATTCTTAAATATTACATCTAAAATTAACTGTCTTGAATGACTTGGTTGGGTGGGGGCTTGGAAAAAAAATTCAATCAAATTACAAATTCAGTGTTAATTAATGCATTGCATAAAATAGAGAAAGCGGTGCAGTTAATTATTTAAAAAAATATTATTTGTAAATATATTAATATTTCATTTTTTGTTTATTTTATGAAATCAGATTTTTTTTTTTTTAATTGTCATTTTTGCTTCAGTCATTGATCAAGGATGTACACTACCATTAAAAAGTTTAAGACCAGTAATTTTTTTTAAGGAATTAATGCTTTTATTCATTAAGGATGCATTAAATTTATCAAAAGTGACAGTAAAGACATTTATAACGTTTCAAAAGATTTCTATTTATTAGTAAATGCTGTTCTTTTGAACTTTCTATTCATCAAGAATCCTGTTTTCAACATTGATAATAAGAAGAAATATTTCTTGAGCAGCAAATCAGCATATTACAATGATTTCTAAAGAATCACGTGACACTGAAGACTGGAGTAATGATGCTGAAAATTCAGTTTTGCATCATAGGGATACATTACATTTTAAAATATATTGAAATAGAAAACAGTTATTTTAAATTGTAATAATATTTCACAATATTACAGTTTCTTACTGTATTTTTGATCATGCAGCCTTGGTGAGCATAAAGTGCTTTTTCCCCCCTCAAAAATAAAAATCTTACTGACCTCAGACTTTTGAACAGTAATGTGTGTTACTGTACTTAAATTTATTCATGATCATTTATTTACATCAGATGATAATATCAGGGGTCTTTGTACTACCAAAGTGGCGCATTGTCATATTTAGATGCCAAACACTGCTAATATTTAAATTTGTGTGATGCATTTGTGATGTGGGTGTGAACATAGAGAAAAATATTTACACTAGAATTGGTAATTAGCTTTGAGCCGCAGGGTATTCCAGGATAATGCTTATAATTAACATAGAGAGCAAAAACAAGCCATAAATTAAACATGCTATTCAAACTGTATAGGGTGCGTTTCACTCTCTGAAGCATTTAAATTTTCAGTTAAAGGTCCTTTAAGGTTTTTTCCCATATGTCACATTATTTTGTGCATGTATGGCATTGTTTAGCAATGTTACCAAATTATATTCAGAGATATAACTACAAGCTATTTAGTTAAACTGCAGTTAATACAGTGCAAGCAATATGTTTAACTAGTTAGTCCCTTCACTGTGTGTTCAACTAGGTTCAACTTGAAATAAAATATCTAAAACATTCCATGCGTTCCAGACTTTCGATACATTTTAACGACAGCATTCTTTATCTGTTTAAACAAATACCCACAAGCAGGATCACAAAGCAGCCCAGAGCCTCTGCCAGGCAAACGTCTGCGTGCCGTGTGAAACCGGTGAGTCACCGAGCGTGATAGTGGTTTGTCACATGTTTGGGAGGCATCTCTTCATCACACACCCCGGTTGTCAGGTACAGAATAATCTATTGCCTCTTACAGGAATTGCTCGTTTGGAGAACAGAGAGGCTGACTCGTTCACACACGCATACTGAGATAGATGCAGCGTACCAGGCATATGTCGTGCCTTTATGAGCAAGAAACTGAAAGAAGAGAAGGGCCTCCACATTATTTATCTTTATTTTATTACCTCACCTCTTTATCATAGTTAATGTATTAACTAACATGAACTAGCAATACATTTGTTACTGTATTTATTCATCTAAATGTTCAGTTAAAATGTTTAATTTATTCATTAATTTTTGCCTGATTGATCAGTGTGTACACTACATTTTATGTTGAGTCAGTTTGGAGTTTTTTTAAGTGGAATTAATACTTTTATTCAACAGTGATGCATTAAAATGAATTCAAAATGACAGTAAAGACATTTATAATTTTACAAAAGATTTCTATTTCAAGTTAATGCTGTTCTGAACGTTCTAATCATCAGTTTTCAACATTGAAAATAAGAAATGGTAACACTTTACAATGTATTAACTAACATGAACTAACATTAGCAATATAATAATTGTTACTGTATTTATTCATCTTTCTTAACATTAGTTAATAAAAATATAACTTTGTTGTTCGTGTTAGTTCAAAGTGCATTAATGTTAACAAATACAACTTTAGAGATTTTAATAATATATAAGTAAATGTTGCATTAACTAATATTAATAGATGTATTGTTCTTTCTTTCTTCATGTTAACACATTAGCTATGTTAATAAATGAAACATGATTGTAAAGTGATAGCGAAGAACGTTGAGCATCAAATCATCATTTTAGAATGATTTCTGAAGGATCATGTGACACTGATGATGCTGAAGATTCAGCTTTGCCATCACAGAAATAAATTACATTTTAAAATATTCAAATACAGAAACAACTATTTTAAATAGTAATAATATTTCACAATGTTACTGTTTTCAACGTATCTTTCATCAAATAAATGCAGCCTTGGTGAGCATCAGACACTCCTCTCAAAAACAAAGATCTTTCAGACCCCAAGCTTTTGAATGGTCGTGTGTGTTAAATGACATGTACCACCAAAAAAGTGTCACATTGTCATTGTGCATTCAGTTCTTCTAAGAGACAATCCTTCCACATTATAAGCAGCTAACCTCACATCACCTCAGGGTCAGCAGAGACAGCTAAGAAGGATGGAGAGGTAGAAAGAGAGCAGGAGTGAAAGAAGTACGCACACATGTGCGGGGAGAAGGCTGAGCGTTCACGAAGCCTCATGACTCATGAGTAGCAGTATCACACCCACCCCTTCCCTCTCCGGAGAACCACGCGTCTTCAGAAGGAAAACAGAGGAAGGGAGCAAAGAAAGTTGGCCCGCACGACTCCGGTGATGTCACGAGCATGTGACCCTGCTTCTCCAGTGACAGTGTTCTGAGGGAAAGAAAAAAGATTTTTTAAAGGCTCGTGCCTCTTTGGGTTTGTGTGAAGGCTCCGCTCACATCCCGAGCAACCACAGAACCGCAGAAAAGTTCGGCTCTGGATTTTTGCATGGGGCTGCCGGCGGCGCGTAAATGGTTAATTGTCACCGGTCAACTTCAGGTTTGAGGACCGCACCAACCAGTAAGTACTCTTCAACCAACCGCACTATCCTCTGCAGCAAGCTTGGCTCCGTCCTGTCCAATAGGGCGACAGATTTTTGCATTTTTTCCTAAACCAGACCTGGTTATTACTTGTGGTCATGCAAATAGTTGATACAAAAACGCATTTCTTGTGGATGTTTTTTCCTTTTTTGCATCTTCCCCTGGCACGCTGCTGCACGCTCCTAACCTAAGAGGCGTCAAGGGTCACCAAAAACCACAGAGAAGCGAAATTTGGGACCGACGGTGGCGACCATGGCATCCAACAGCCTCTTTAGTTCTATGACCCCATGTCAGCAGAACTTCTTCTGGGGTAAGTGCCCAAGGATTTCACCCTGTTCTTGACCGTTCCACGTGCTGGACCGTATAATAAGGAACTGCGTTTTGAGAAGCAACAATCATGTGTTGATGTTTACAAACATTCGGCTCGGCCAGCCATCGTAAAGCCCGACTGCGTGCAGGAACTGTTGTAGGGAAGCTCGGGTGCTGAAGTGTCATTGTAAACGTAATGCAGGCTTTTTGGGATATGAGTTTGAAATCCAGTATAAAAGCAAATAAGTGAATGTTTGACATTGACTGTTAGGTTAGTGGGTGTGTAAGCTGAAAGTCCAGAGATACAGATGAGAAAGTCACCGTAAAGTCTTCAAAAGTTGAGAAATGTATTTCGATATTCTTTGCAAAAGGTATTTGATTAAGCATCTTTCTCAGACTGTCTGGCTGTGGGTATATGTATATATATATGTGTATATACAGTATATATATATTGGAATTATTTGGGTCGGAATAAATTCTAGTGTCTTTTAAGTGACGTTCACTGAAAATCCTACTCGTTTTATAATTTATTACGTCTGTTGACACCTGGATGCTGAGACGAAATATACAAAAATAGTGTCTGAAATTGTAGAAAATATAAAAACATTATTAAATACACAAGAATAACAGGCAAGCACAAATCCATATTGTGCATAAAGAAATATGACTTTCCCATGTCACAGAGAAGTAAGAGAGCCCATTCATTCTGATCTATGGGTTTTGCCGATTCCTCCAAGAGAAATGTTGTAAAGCCGTTTTGGAGTGTGAATGTCTGCTTTCCAAACACAGCTGTGCGGAGGCCTGCTCCTTCAGCACGCGTGCTGTTCTCTGGCGTGTGTGTGTGTGTGTGTGTGTGTGTGTGTGTGTGTGTGTGTGTGTGTGTGTGTGTGAGCGGGGAACCCAGAGACACTTGCAGCAATCAGAGCCCCATTAGCATGTTAACCTCTGACCCATGCTCTCAGGGGTGAGAGGAGACCAGGATGAGAACGGGACGGGGGGAAAGTTTGTCTCGATTGTGGCTAGTGCAGATATGTACATGTACAGTAAAAGACCACATGAGACTCTCACTGTATTCAGTTAATGTGTGGTTTTAGTTTTTAAATAGCTATATTTTGCATTAAGGCAACATTTTAGATTTAACGGACAGCATCATTATGGTTCAAAAACTGTTTATATGAACATGCTTGAAATTGCCTTCATGGAAGAAGTTACTTCTGTGTGAGACCTCATTATCAAAGTTATTTTATAGTATTTTTTCTGCAATATGTTTTTGCTGATTTTTTTGCTATCTTACATTTTGCTTTCTGAAAGTATAAGTCGACTTTGTGACCAAAAAAAAAGTTCTCTTTTGTATGTTATCTGCTTAATAGATTTTGATCGGTTTAGAGGAACATATTATTTAAATAATTTGACGGGGAGGGGTCATTTTATGAATAAATAAAAGGTTACTGTTATTGTTTTACACATAAGTTCTCTGTAAAGTTGAAACTAGTTGTGTGTGGTAGACACGGGTGCTGAATATTAATCAGTTTGACTTGCATTCCACATTTTATATAATTTGCAAAACTCTTAACTCTTAAAAAAAAAAATATGATCAGTAAGTTATAACAAAATATGTTTTTGCATTGCTTTAACTCATCAAAATAAAGTTTTCAACTTTGTTATGTTATACAAGATTCAGCAAAAAAAATTAAAATCAGTTTAATGTAATTTAAGTTGAAATGACTTAAACATCCAAGTTGATTGAACTTTTTTACAGTGCTAAGAGTTTTTAACTTTTCATATTAGTGTCCACTGATAGATGTCATGACCAGTGAAGGAAAAAAGAGAAAAAAAAAGAAACCAGACCCTACCAGACACATTATATTTCATTCAGGCTCCACTATTGAGAGATTTGGATTTAATTAAGTAGAAAACATTCTCTGTAACGCTGCCTAATGGCAGATGGGTGTGGAGTAATTGTCTACATGTGTGGCATGAGACAGACTCGCTAGGTTTCTCCAGGGCATATTTTGTTGCTCGTTATCAAAATCGAGCTACAGTATTGACAATTATCCCATGGTAGCAATTATCATCTAGCGAGAATGCAAGACATTTTCAAAATAAAAAAGATTGATGAAAGAAAGAAGACAGTTTAGTGACTCAAAGTCTTTAAACGTTCCAGAGAATCCCAAATAATTTGAGAGGAGTATTAAAAGGCAGCTTCTGTTGCATGCATCGTCTGCTCAGATCCCACCGCCCGCCGTCATTCCTGAGACATCTTAAAAGCAAACCAGACTTGCTTTTTCCGAAGCAGTGCCAGAGCAGGGAAGCCCTCTCATCAATAGGTAATTGAAGCGAGGGGAAAATCTCTGACCCTGAGCTGCAGCTTCTGTGAAAGGGAGAGGATCATCTAAAAATATCATCAAAGCCATATTCATTTAGCACTGTTTAATTGTAGCTGGCGAGCAAACATGTAATTTCGACAGCAATTTTTAGATATTGAATGGTCCTTGGGGTGTATTCATTCACTAATGGTCAGGTAGAGTTTTGTGGGCACACTACGCCTTTTGTGAAAGGACTTTGAGGTTATAGTCTCGTCCTTCACTGTTGCCCAATTCTATAACTAAAATAACATCAATTATACAGTAAAACTTAGTGACAAATATCATTACAATTATGAAAGTGAGGCTGGTTTGCTTTTGAGATGTCATATGACAGCCAGTGGTAAGATTTGAGCAGTTGACTTTGTTTTAATATTAAATTCATTCATATTTTAAATAAATATTTATTTATTGCTCTTTCTGTCTCACTTACGTTCTCAATAAATCATAATTTAAATGAATATTTAGCTATCCGATTTATCTATATTTTTACATTCTCACTAAATGATAACTGCAACTATAAAATAATTGTACATATAAAATGATTCACAAGCACAGCCAGACGCACAGTATAAATGTACAAATGCAAGGTCACTATGATCTCTTTTTTTATTGTATCACTATTTATTATCATCTGTCTGTTTTATTGTGTAATGCGGCTTGAGAAGCTGCTTTAAAGGCGTTATTTAAAATAACGTTTTTTATTATTTTTTCTTTTCTCTGGCACCAGAGAATAAGGAGTCTCCGTTGAGCTTGTGTTCTATTAGGCTCCGTTTACACTGCAGATCTTGATACCCAATTCTGATTCGGTGACTGTGTCCAATTTTTTTTTTGACGACTAGCTTACGTCTTCTTTTAAAAGTGTATCATATCTGATATCTGCATTTACACTACACATTTTGGGACACAACCCAAGGTAGGCATACTGACCTGGAAAAGCTGAGCCCGAAAAGGAAGTAAAAACCGCATGATTTGCAATGGACGCAGGAATGATAATACAAGCTTTTAAAGGTCAGTAAAACATTGGGTTGAGCCTTCGTCCTCCATTGCGCCATTGAAAAGAGTCATGTGATCGTAGTTGGTCTCTACCTGAGTTGACGTCATTCGCCACGTCGCTTTTTCAATGACGTAAGACTCGCATTGACAGGAATATTCAATCTGTACGCTTACATGGCAGATGCAAATACACATATCCGATTCATATCAGATTTATCTCCACATATGAATGAGGCCTGAAACCTGATCTGAGAATATTAGAATCCATGTGCATTTTTCCAGCTTACATGTTCATGGGTCATATCCCATCTTTGCCACATGGTAGGAAATAATCGGAATTGGGTCACTTGAACCATAATGTAATAGAGATACTAAAGCACTGTGTGAATTTAAAGGTACAAGCACTGATCTATATAATGATATATATATATATATATATATATATATATATATATATATATATATATATATATATATATATATATATATATATATATATATATATATAATCTATGTCATTCTATATAGATCAGTGGGTACAAGCGAAAAGTCATGTGACAGGAAGCATTACAACAATGCTGCGATTGGCTAATTAGCATATCAATATGATAACCTTGTAAATTTAATGAATATTAATAATATTTTTGACTTTAATGTTTTTGAAGCAACGTAAAAAAAAAAAAAAATTAAACGTAGTGAGTCTTTAATGTGACTTAATTTTAATAAAAACGATGTTAAAGGGATAGTTCACACCAAAAATGAAATGTATTTCATCATTTACTCACCCCAAAAAAATATTTTGAAAAGTTCTGTTTTTCTCCATACAATGAACATCAATAGGATCCAGTCTTGTTTACACCCCAACTTTCTTAATGTATTACTTTTGTGTTTTGAAGAAAGAAGGTCATACAGGTTTGGAACAACATGAGGGTGAGTAAATGATGACAGGATTTTAACAAAAATATAGGAATGTTTTTTTGTTTTTTTTGCTTGTTCGTATGGTAAATAGTAGGAAATGTAACGTGAATTCCCTTTAGAAGTCCACAACATCACTTAAATTAGTCCAAGCTAAAACTATTCGCAATGTTTAGATGTGCCCCAATAGTATGTTTTTATGAAATAAAAATAAATAATGAATTAGATAGATAAATAATAAATAAAGTCTTTTCAATTTTGATTAAAGAGTTACTCTACACGTCGGATGGGATGTGTTATATTGTCCGACGCCGGCCTTTGATCAATCCGATGAAGCTGGTGGGAACTGACGAATGAGAAAAGGAAGAGGTAATTTGATTAACGCACTTAGTCATACAGTCAAAGAGCATGAAACCGATCCCTTTTGTCATGGTCAGGGCATATGCACAGACTGAGCGGCCGGAAATGAAAAAAGGTTGGACGTATAGCGTCACGATGCAACAGGTACCATCTCTTAATTTGGTTCTATTACCAGCCCACACACCCCCTTAAGGATAGAGGTGTTAAATGGATCAGTTGCACACCTGAAGAGTAGTTTGTTGGCAGTGGGACTCCAGTTCTGGCTGCGGAGCCTAACAAGCCTAATGCTGTAATCTGAGCGGGCCAGTGACACGTACAGGAAGACGTAAAAAAAGGCAGGGATCACCTTGCGCCTCTGAGCTGGTGC